TTCTCTTTCTACCATGGAAGAAAGTGGACAGTCAGAAACTCCACATACTTTGCAGGGGTCATTTTCACACCTTCAGGGACCCTAAAGGGGCCGACCAGCTCTCTCCCCATGATTCCGGCTCAAAACATGACTCCACCAACTCCTCGCTGACGACGCAGCCTTGTTGGGACATGGTGGCCGTCCACCACTGCATCCATCTGGACCATCCAGGGTTGCACTGCACTCATCAGTGAACAAGACTGTTTGAAAATTAGCCTTCATGTAGTTCTGGGCCCACTGCAGCCATTTCTGCTTGTGAGCATTGGTTAGGGGTGGCCGAATAGAAGGTTTATGCACAACTGCAAGTCTCTGGAGGATCCTACACCTTGATGTTCGCAGGGCTCCAGAGGCACCAGCAGCTTGAAATATCTGTTTGCTGCTTTGTGATGCCTTTTAGCAGCTGCTCTCTTAATCTGATGTATTTGTCTGACAGAAACCTTCATCATTGTGCCTTTATCTGCACGAACCCATGTGTGCTCTGACTCAGCCACAAATCTCTTAACATTATGGTGATCACGCTTAAATTTTCGTGAGGTTTTCATTACGTGTCCAAGGCATTCAACTATTTCACGCTTTTCAGCAGCAGAGAGATACGTTTTCCTTCCTATATTGCTTAAAAATGGTGGTCTGCTTAATAATGTGGAACATCCTTCATTAGTAGTTTTTCCTTTAATTGGGCTCACCTGGCAAACTAATGATCACAAGTGTCCGAGATTGATTTCAGTCACCCAGAGAGTCCTGAGACATAATTCCATCCATGGGTTTAATTGAAAAACAACTTATTTAATCTTTATTAATCTTTGGGGCGATCGTGGCTCAAGAGTTGGGAGTTCACCTTGTAATCGGAAGGTTGCCGGTTCGAGCCCCGGCTTGGACAGTCTTGGTCATTGTGTCCTTGGGCAAGACACTTCACCCGTTGCCTACTGTTGGTGGTCAGAGGGCCCGGTGGTGCCAGTGTCCGGCAGCCTCGCCTCTGTCAGTGCGCCTCAGGGTGGCTGTGGCTATTTACCATTTATGACACTTAAACACAATTTTCACAATAATTTGGAACACGGTGTGTTTCTAGACTAGCATTTGAATTAATGCTATTTCAGCATCTATGGTCACTTCACTAGCGTCCTTGTTTTTTTGGTTTTTTTGGTTTGTTTTCAAACTGTCATCACAATTAATGACTTCCACACATAGTATAGATCAGCGGTCCCCAACCCCCGGGCCTCGGATCGGTACCGGTCCGTGAGTCGTTTGGTACCGGGCCACGAGAGTTGAGGCTCAGGTGTGAAATGTATAGTTTTCAGGGTTTTTATCGGTTTTCAGCGTTATTTTGTTATAGTTTTTATCGTTTACTCGGTTTTCCTGGGTCTTTTCACGTGTGTTATGAATAAATTTTCTTTTTTTCAGTACCGGTACTAGTTTTATTTTGTTGTATTTATCCGCGACGCCTTAAAGGCCGGTCCGTGAAAATATTGTTGGGCATAAACCGGTCCGTGGCGCAAAAAAGGTTGGGGACCGCTGGTATAGATTACTTATTGTTGGTCATCAACAACCATATAGCTTGAAGCCTGATTGGACCATCTGAAAGGAAACAGCAGGAGGAAAGCTCTGTGATGGTTTGCTCTGTGATGGTTTGGGGTAGGATATGTTGGAGCTGATCATCTGTGGCATCAACCTGAGTTGATGTATTTGCAAAGACAATCAAAATGTCTCATCGTGGAAACTGTTCCCTTTCCATGTTTTCAAAAATCTGTTGTTGTCATGGTGTTAGCAGTAAAATTCAAGCATTTTCATGTAAATGATTCTATATCTGTGTCTTTTTGTGTCTTCTTCAGACCACGCAGCCCAGACGAGGTAAGTAAAGTGCTCCATTATGATTCATTCCACTATCTTCTGTGGTGATACAGTACAGAGAAATAATAAGCCTGTGCATCACGTGTTCATGTATGGTAGGGGGACATCGTTCCGCTTCTGCCTCTCCATCTCAGTCGGCCCAGGGATCCCCTCAGAGAGCCCGGTCCGCCACTACGTCTCCCAGCCAGGCGTTCCAGCCCGGTCCCATCCCTGCCTCGTCTGGACCTGGAGCTGGGAAACAGTCACCGCAGCTGAAGTAAGTCCAAACTGGGGTTCTGTTAATCTCACACATAACTTTGCTTACGATGATTTTCCTCGTCGGGTAGCTAAACCGTCTCCGTCTTCGTCGCGCAGCAAATCGCAGTCGCTGACAAACAGCTTCACGGAGACGTTACGAGGAAGCTTGACCGACGACGAGGCCAAAGCCGAGACCATCCGCTCCCTCCGACAGTCCTTCGCCAGCCTCTTCTCTGACTAAAAACATCCCTACCACCTTCCTCTTCCTGTCATCAGGTTTCAGAAAATAATAATAATTGCTTACTCTGTTTGTTATGGAGTCGCCTCTCTCCTTTCCATGTTTGTGAAGTTTAACACTGGTGCAACCCTCTGTCCTCAAATCAGTGATCAATCTATCACTAGAAAGGCCAGTGGATTTCAGAGGACCTACACCGTGTTGACTGGAGATGGTAGATTTTAAGATGTCACCAAACCCCCCGTTCACGTTTCTATTACTTTCAGGGAGCTTTGTTTTTTGCTAATTATTCCATATTCACGTTTAATCTACGAAACTCCTGAAACATTTCTAGTGACTCCAATGTTGTGTTGAAACCTAAAACCTGTCCATAGAAATTGAACTTCCTAGAAAGCAAAACCAGCCAATGGCCTTTTTAGTGGTAGGTGATCACAGTAGATATTCATATTCTCGCTCGTGCTGCTTGGTATATAATTGTTATTCTGCATTCTCTTTGTCCGACCGGTGAAACTATTTCTATGTTCATATTTCTACATTTATGTACATCCGTCATATCTTCAGTTTCTTTATTCGACACACAGCTTCCAAATTGTTTGCAGATGTCCATGGCAATATTCTGATCTGAACCAGTTCCACCTGAGTCATGAGAAGCGTACTGAATCCTCTCGCTTCACCAGCGGTCTCTTAAGCATCTTAGCCAGCAGCAGCATTTCTCAGACATCCGTGTGCTGTAGACACATATTGGCTTATGTAGTGACTCCTCTGCCTTGGCCTAACTTTACCAAAGTGCTTTTTAATAACAAAAAAAGAACAGTTTTTTCTTAAAGAAACAACCCCCTTAACTTGTTTGAGAACACAATCACACAGCTAAGAAAAACCTTTGAGCTTGTGATTTTTTTTAACGAGGTGCAAATGCTGTACTGGCTTACAGCCATCGTCTTCCATCACAGCTCTGCTCTTCCCCAGCAAATTGTTCTTTTTCTTAATCTTTTATGTTTGTTAATAGCACCGTGGGGTATTTGTTGGTGTGGGGACTGATCTAGCGACTAGTACTGGTGAGTCTTTAGAAGCAAACAGCAAGGGTTTGATATTTTAATCATCTGTCTCTTGTTCTCTGTCAGCTAGGATTGCAGCTCATTTATTGTAGTACTTTTTAGGAGTTTTGCTCTGTAGCAGATATAACCTACGCACACATATACCTGCAGGAATGGCAGCCATCCTCTTCTAACATCCGTCACTGTTTTGGATCTGCATGTAAATGAATGTGATGTGTGGAGCCAACCTGTTTTCTTCCACAGTTTATTTGATGGGAGTTGACGCTTACTTTGAATTTTCTGAAAGAAAAATGCATTTTTGGGTAACTTATTATGAAATTAGACACCAAGTACTTTTGGTTTATTGTAGATGGAGTCTGTAGATTTTCCAGCATATTTCGTAAGATGGAATGTGCATACGCAATGAAGCCTTCAAAGAAAAACTCTTAATTGATAACTGATGGCAAAGATCTCTTATGACTATTCATTAGTTGGATCTGAAGGGTATGCAAAACATCTTTGATAGTTTACCAAAGTCTTAAATTTCCAAAATATTCTTTTAAAAAAAAAGTTCAAAAAATAATGAGTGAGCTACAGATTTTAGCTTCTTGTAGCAGCAAGCTCGAAGACACAAACTGACTACATGATTTTGCTTTCCATGCAAAGAACAATCAAAGTATGATACTCAAAGATGATACTAAAATTATCAAAATGATAATGGTAAATAATAGTTTTATCTTGTGACTTAGAATGAGCTTGTAATAGTTTCCCCCACCTTCCATTTAATTCAGAATCTGGATCTTTAGTAGATAAATGATAATCCCAAAGCCAGTGTTAAATGATGAAAGTTCCAGAAAAGGAGAAAAAAGTTAACTAGCCATTTTTGCAATAATTACATTCATTGCAGGAAAAAAATGCCACCACAGATTGCATATTTATCCTGCAAAACATAGAAACATTACAGTGGCATTGACTAAAGAGAGCATGGCTTAGCAGATGTAAATAAAGTGAATTTATGCTTCGTTTAGTTTCCTTAGCTTCAGCTACTACTTATAAATTTAACTAACAGGTTTCTTTCTTCCTTTGGAGCAATGTTACTGTGGTGGCAATTTTTTTCTGCATTTTTCAAATGGCTGGTTCTTGAGTTCAACTAGAAAGCTAACTAGCTAGCTAGAATGCGGCTAGTCAGCTAACGGATTTTAGCAGTAGTGGTTTATTAGCTTGCTACACCAAAGGGGATGCTGTGGGTTTGTTAAAAATAAATTAGTAAATTAAACTTAAATATGCATTTCTGATGGAAACGGTTTGAGGCTAAACATACTAGTATACACAAAATAACAGAATAATGCTAACTAAAAATAAATTACATAAAAGTGCTAATTACTCCAAAATAACTTCAGGAAGACATTTCAAATTTTAGTCTAGCTAAATTTTATTTAAATCATGGCCAAGAGAGTATGCTTTGTTGTTTCTATCTTCCAGAGGGGATGTTCTACTTTAATAAAAGCATTTGTGAGTTTTCAATGCTAGCTTGGTCAACTTGGTTGGGGTTTTAAAGGTCTAAAATTCCACAAATCTATTTATTTATTTATAAAGAGCAGGCTTAATCTGCTCGTGTTAACCATCCTTGACAATTTAAACATTACTTTATTTTTTTAAATGCTCATTAGGCTTTAAAGTAACAACATCGTGGTTTTCCACTGTAGGCAGTAAGCTAATTCTCCTGTCAGTTGTCATGCTAGGGCAGATAAACACTAATGTAATAATTACTTAGCTTGTATTTTTCGTTTTCGAATAATGAAAATATTGACATTGCTTACTGTGATTCTTTTGTTTCAAGTTATCGCTGGCTATATTAATTCTGACTTTTTGTCAAATTCTCATGCGTAATCTCAGATTTACTGCAGTGTCTTGTGTTAAACACTTTTGCAAGCATCTTGTAGCTTTTGGTACTGTGTCAAAGTGGACCAAATCTGCATTTGATTGTGAGGCCCCTTAAAGGTTTACATTAAATTGTTCCATCTTACCTGTAAAGATTATTGCCACTTCGTATATAATACTGCAGTGTGATAAGCCATAACCAAACCGTGAGGATTTCCTATCCCTTATGTGCCACGCAATAAAGGCTGTGACGTCGCTGATAAATTGAAATGTTAACTTTAAACACTGTGTCTATAGCCTCTCTTGTCCTGGAGAGAAACTGCAGTTACTCTTTCTGGATATCAAGGTTATCGCGAGATATAATTATTTGCTCATTCTGTCAGGGTGAAAGATGAAAGAACTATGATGTCACTTTTCTCACATTTTGGGTTTAAAATACACTTTAGGATCTGGCATGTTCCATAAATATGTTTTATTGGGTCAAACTATCCGGTTGTTAAGTCTGACGTCACTAGCCATGTCTGGGCCTAAACTCCGCTGCAGGTCCATATATCAAACGATCACTATGAGAGTTGAAAAACTGTCTAAAGTCTTTCATCTTTAATAAAATGATCAGCGTTCTGCTCTACCAGGTGTAACAATTGAGTTTAACATCCAGGCATCCGTGAAAATGGAATTTATGACGTTTAACGGAGTTAGACGTTAGCAGGAAGTTAGCTCGCTAGCTTCTATCTACATACAATATAGCATGTCCTGACTGCGGGGTTTTGGAAACAAATGAAAACGTACAGCTCTGTTATCACTTCCAACATAAATGAAGACAGAAAACTAAACAGCAGTGACGTTTGTAGGGTTACTGAAGTTTGGCTAGCTGGTATATAATGATGTGCTACGTGACCGCTAGCAACACAGCTATGTATAATATAAACAAGCTAACTTTTTTCCCACTCAATAAAAGTTAACGTGAGTGTTCTCGGTGGTCAGGAACAAATGTAATCGCATGGCAGGATGCTGTAAAAGGACCAAACTTCAGCCAGGAGAACAACTGAGATAATCCATCCACAATACGAGGTTAGTCATTCATGCTGCTGCATGGGCTGGGCTGTAGTTACATCCTAAGCTTTTAAAAACTCAGCTTAAATAAATGATTAGCGGTAATAAAAGCAGAGGGAGGTCAACAGTGATCACTGACTGTTTTAGGAGCTTTTTGAGATTAAATAGAAGAAAATACATAACATGTTAACAACACAAAAGCCATATTAAACGCAGACTACTTTAGGCCCGGAAGTAGGATTCGTCACGTCATCACTTAACGACCGGATAAACAATGACCGGACATCAAATAATTTTAGTTTTGCAAACTGTTGGTTTGCTTCCCTTTTGTCTGAGGGTCAGATGTGGTCTCAGCTGTATTAGCTGGACCCGTACCTGATAGTTTCTGAGCTGATTTAATTGGAACTGAGCTGCAATGTTGATTGGTAACTACCTCAAGTTCAGCAGTGCTCTGCTGAAACTGACAATAGAGTGGTAGTACGGGACAAGATTTTGTGCACTGAGCATGGCTTCATGTTATAACTGATGTGCTCATAAAACAATAAACCTGCTGTGGTAAAACAACATCTAAGTGCAGAAGGAATGAGAGGAATATAATTTTGTTAAAGTCAAATATCGAGTCAGACATTTTAAAATTCTTTGTCTCAAAATTTCCCCCTCAGTTTATACATTTCTCCAGTTTTTCAAAATTTTATTTAATTTAATAAATTGTCTTTCCTCTTTCATAACATGTCAGTTAAAGAAAACATTTTGTAACGTGTTACTAGAATGCAATATAAATTGAAATGATTTGGGCTCTTGAAGGTATCTGTGTCAAAATCTTATTTGAATATTGTATCTTTATTATTTCAAGTGATGTTGTGCTTACTATACTGTACAAGTTACAGATTTCATATTTATGACAGATATTTTGATGTCACTTTTCAGAATTTTACTTCCTTTATGATGAAACATAGACTGTATATCAAAGATGGACATGGCCACTGCGCTAGCATGTGTTGGTTTGTAGTTAACAATCCTAGAGCTTTCACTTTCACATTTTGGTCATCAACATTTTGGTCTTTTGAGTGTATTTGGAGCTGATTAGTTAACACTTAGACTAGCTAGTTAGACTTGTTACCAAAGTGCATCCGTTATTCACTGTGATATTAATTTGGATGCCAGTTTTTGCTAACAACGGGCTTAAACCAAATGTGTAAACATAAAAAGGCTGTCCCCCTAAAACCCTGAAAAAGCAAGGATGAAATTACAATTAGGAGGTTAGCTTACTGTCATTAACAACTTAACCATGGGCTAAAGCACTGCTAGCTTTAAATAGACTTAAAGTTAGCATTTAACACCATAAATACATCAAAGTGTGAGAATTTTCCCATTTCTTCTACAATAGAATTTCTTTTTGAATCCACAAGAGTCGCCCCCTGCTGTCATTTAGAGAAAATGCAGGTTTAAGGCCCATCCTCACCAGCTTCACTTTTCATGTCCATCTTTAACATACAGTTTGTGGGTTTAAAAGGGCACTCTCACAGGTATTTACGCCCCAGGTTTACTTCTGCTCGCTCTCTTTGTCTCTATAGATGTAAGCATTTCTAGTAATCCCAAAAGGTTGATTCTGTTCTGGATGTAGCGTTTTCAGTGGGAGAAACAGGTTTCCCCAACCTTATAAACAGGACATTTGCAGAATAACTGTCACTTGAAATGAAGACGTCACTCGGATGAGTGATGAAATGTTTCTCCCACTGAAAACACTACGTCCAGAACAGAATCAACCTTTTTTGGATTTACTTACCTGGACGATTGAGCATGCATCAAGACATTTCTAAGAATAGTTCACATATCATTTGTCATCGTAAAGAGAGAGGTGTTTGAGTTAAGCAGGTTGATAGCTATCTCAGCCAATTGCAGTGCCAGATTCACCTGTTTCTCCCAAAACAGGTCGCTGATGTCACCAGTGCTATATCTGGGAACTTTTACAGTGTGTATGGAACGTATGCTCATTTCATGAAGCTTTTTTTTAATTTCCCCAACATTGTTTTCATTTAATATATAATTTGGAGCAAAGGCAATACTCTGCTACCGGGGTTGGCTCATCGTTATTTGCTCTGGGTGTGTTGAAGCGATGCATAGTGTAAGACTGAATTAATATGCAGCCACAGAGACTTACAATGAAATACAGCTATTACTGAAAGCAAACTCAACTCTACTTTAATGTGGCATATGTACATGAGAGAAATAACGCCGTTGCACGGGTTCATTTGCCAGTTTTTGAGTTCACTGTGTCCCTTCCTCTCTGCTGAATGGTGGGTGATATTGTAAGTGTATTAATGTTGTGTATATTGGTGTAAATGTGGCATGAAAACCAACCCCTCTTGTGTGCCTCAGGTGTATAAATTTAGGCGTTATGTGATCTCGATGTCTGGCTGCTTATTTGTGAGAAGTGTGATGTAATTTATTAGTATTTACATTATTTCTGTACTTTTGTTCTTTTGTCTGAACGAAAGATTTCTGTTAATAAAGTAAAAACTTTTATTATACCTGTTGCAGTGCATTCCAGTCTCTATCAGTCATCTGCTGAGCTCCACTTGATCAGATTTGAAGGTTTTTTTCTCCATTTATGGTCATTGAAACAGAACGCTTGGCTATTACTGTACTTTTAAAAGCCCTGTTTGAAAAACGCAACTTTCAGAATATGTAGCGATAATCCCAAAATCCTTTCATCTTGGATTATTACCCTTTTTTATTCCTCTTGGCTTGATACTCAGGGTGTTAAAAGCTGTCTGGCAACACGAGGCCACGGAGAAAAAAACCTGCCGGCATCCAGTGCTTCTTTTCATCTGCTGCCCACTTCACGTCAGGTCCAGAAATTAATTGTGTTAAGAGATGATATTAAACACACTCAGCTGTGAATATGTCACTGAGCACACACGAACGTGTTACGAATTCTCAAACAACATGATCATCATTCAGGTATTACTACTTTACGACCGAATGTGACTGCCAGACTCGAAAGCCCAGCTTTAAGGAGTAAAGCACTCGAGAAGAACTGAACTTTTGTGGCCAACCTTAAATTCAAACTACAGTATTTCTTTCCCCCCTTTTCTAATCACTTTGGAGCACTAGAATAAAGTGTAAACAGATGTAGGCGTGTAAAATGTCTGAACACTTCTTCTTGTACCGATGTAGTTGGTAGTGTTACTTAAAGTATGCAGGTCCAAATAAAAGCTGCGATGTTTAGGTTAACAAATACAAAGAAAGTTCATGAGGATATTTTTTTCCGTGCATCCAGTCATGATGAAGTGATGAGTCCTGTTGCCCGTAAACTAAAAAGTATGAACAAATATTTATGACATTGTTACCAACACCACTGATTAAATGATGCACATGTTTCCACATCAAGCAGACACTGATCAGCACTTGCTTTCAGTTAGAGTTGTGTTTCTAT